CTTATGTACCTAATTTATTTGATATTTCGCAGGTGATGCCGAAACAAATTAATGAGATGTTGCCAGACCGTTACCGAAAATTAACGCGCGTCTGCGCACGCTCAGTGCCTCCCCGTTATAACAGAGCCGCGCAGTTACACCCTGCCCACATGCCGCACCCCGCGACTCGCACTGCGTTAGCTATAGCAGCCGCTAAGAGCATCGCACAATAATTATATATATTGCAAGCGGTCTGTCTTTACATCATGGCTTCACAGACGATTCACGCATCGGCGAACGTCGTTACCGACGAACGAGGTTCATCGTTTCGGACGCCGAGAAAAGCGTGACGGAACCGCCGCCGCACGGCGACGACGTCGGCGACGTCGGCGACACGTCGATCCGCGCCAAGATGAATCGTCTGGCGGAGACGACGACGATGCACGGCGTCGCAACATCAGACGGTCGCGAACGCGACGCCCGTCGCTACGGTGGTCGCTGCGCGTGTCGGCGCCATCGTGCTCTTCTTCATCCAGAGCGGCATGCAGCTGCGTCGCTACATCAACAACCCCGTCGAGACGACGTCGGCCGTGAGACTGCGCAGCCACGTACAGCTTCCGTCGCTCACCGTCTGCAACCGGAACCGGTTCGTCGGACGGCCTACTCGCGGTTCGTCATGCGCTACTACAACCTCTCTGACACGGACGTCGTCGACAAGTTGGGAAGCAACGTCGACGAGCTGTACTGAGGACTGAGTGAGGAGGAGCGTTGAGATGGGCCATCAGTTAAAGGACGTCATCGTGCAGGCGTACCTGCCCGGTCTGAACGCGTTCGAGATCAAAGACGCTGAACATAACGGAGAGTTTCAGCGTGAGCGATGATTTACCGTGCTACGGTGACACGTACATGCACACGCGCGACAGTGTACGCACAGACACACCGCGTGCTGTGACACGCACATACACACGCGTGCTGTTGACACGCACATACACACGCGCCGACGGTGACACGCCATACACACACGCGCGCGTGACACACACATACACACACGCGCGGTGACACGCACATATACACGCGCGCGGCGACACAAACATATACACACGTGCGCGCGTGACACACACATACACACGCGCGCGGTGACACGCACATACACACGTGCGCGTGACACACACATACCACGTGCGCCGGTGACACACACATTACACACGCGCGCGGTGACACGCACATACACACGCGCACAGTGACACGTACATACACGCGCGCGCGGTGACACGTACATACACATTCGCGCGGTGACACGCACATATACACACGTGGCGCCGCGCCATCGAAGGCACATGATACTTTACGATGCTTCACGATACACACCACGCTATGTTATATGGGCGTTTAATTTCGTCAGAGCTCTGAATATTATATGCGACATTTCCGCACACGCACGCACACAGGCAGTCACGCAGGCACTCATGTTTGTACACATGCATAGACAGCCCACACACGTAACGCACGCCTCACGGGCACGCACGCACGCACGCACGCACGCACGAACACTCTAAACATCACACACACACACACACACACACACACACACACACACACACACACACACACACATAGCACACCACACACACACACACACACACACACACACACAACACACACACACACACACACACACACACACACACACACACACACAATACATGTATTTCAAATGAATATTCGTAATTTCTTCAAATATCACTTATCTAATAATTGCCACGCCATTGTTCGACTTCTCGGACAAAAATAGCATTCCAATGAATAATTAAACACATTTAGATTGCATTATCTTCGAGCATTTACAACCGTACACCGTGAAATTGACCTGTACTGTACTGTGTGTTTGTACTGTGACAACAATACATTCTCGTTACTAATTCTGTGGCTATTTGCTTAAAGAACGTCTACGTCGGTCAAGTACGGTAACTGCTTTACGCTAAACTCGGGCTTGACTGACAACGGCCACAAGTTTCCCCTCATCAACATAACGCTAGAGGACGCTGCCGGCGGGGTTGTCATCGAGCTGAGAGGGGGCGAAAGCGATTCCCGCGGTGTTTGACGCCGATGGTAAGACAGCGGATTCCTACTGCTGGTGCAAGCCCCTGGGCAGATGGTGCACATGGAGACGGCGACGTTCGTTGCGCCCGAGACAAGCACACACGTGTCCTTCCAGCGGACACTGATCGAGCGGAAGAAGCGACCCGAACAGGACTGCATAATGGCGGAGGAGGTGAACAAAGCCGGAGTTTACCACGACGTGTTCGCCGAAGTCTACGGCACGGACTACACCGTGCGCTCGTGCCTCAAGACCTGCTCGCAGAAGAAGGCCGTGAAAATCTGCGACTGCTACATGCTGAGCACCGAAATACCGCTGACCGACGCCATGTTGGGAAACGCTCGAAGCGCCGCCTCGGTGTCGCGGTGCAACGGCACGGAGCTGAACGCATGCGTACTGCGCATCATCAACGGCACCTACGATAGCGACCCCTGTCTGTGTCCGCCGCCGTGTCACGAGGTGCAGACGGAGGCAGTCGTTACGTCAGCGCCGATGACGACGCTCGTGTCAGCCAGTGAAAACGAGCAGCTGTTGGAATTGCTTAAGACAGCTGGCGTTAGCGTCGACGTGATGGAACGTTATGAAGCCCGAGGCATCGTCGTTTCTTCTCCTGCCTTTGCTGTGGATACATATAGCCGCCTCTATATTCGCTTTCGCGACACGTTTGACCGGGAAATACGGGAGGAGTTCGCATTCACGAGCTCCGACCTCGGCGCTAACATAGGCGGCTTACTCGGTCTCTATATCGGCTTGTCGATTCTCACGGTGTACGAAGTCATCGAGTTTTTGTACGATATCTGCGTGTTACTCGTGAGAAAGGCGAAGCCTAAGTCAGTGAAAATTTAAAGCTGAGAAATCACTTCAGTAGGACGCGGCGGCGAGAATGATTTCGCCTATACATAAAATAGCCGGAGGAAACTGAAGTATTTATTACGTGTTATAGTTTTTATGGCTACTTGCCACAGATAACGCAACGCTTACTGACGGTTCACGCGTTCATGGCTCACGGTTACAGTCACGGTCACGGTCACGGTCACGGGTACAGTCACGGTCACAGTCACGGTCACAGTCACGGTTACAGTCACGGTCACAGTCACGGTCACGGGTACAGTCACGGTCACAGTCACGGTCACGGTTCACGGACTGCTTCACGGTTCTAAAGAGCGCTCGCAAGCAAATCTCATGAGAATTTCCCGAGAAGAGGAGCGTCAGAGAAAGAGAAAGTCAGAATTCAATGCCTAGCTGTCATGTCGCACACGTCGGTGCATATTTCGCCGAGCTAGAGGAGGCATACAACAGTAAGCCTCCGCAAATTGTCCTTGCACTATTTCTCAAGAAAAGACCCTTTTTTGATTTTTTTCGCTTAAATTCGGCACTACAGTGCAATAATTTGCATTGCGCAAGTTAGATGCCTCGTGGACGTCTAGAAAGCATTAGAAGTAAAATTGGTATTGTCGTGTAGTTGTGACATTCCGTCAGGTGGCGTAGCCATGGTGACCGGTTGGTAATTTTTATGTTTGAAATGTGTTCGGATTACTTTGCAGAAATTCGCATCATAGAGCTGGCATAGTATAGAGCATGAATCTGTAATAGAGCATGAATCTGTAGTTATTTAACATGAATAAAGTGTATGTTGTGTATGCGAAGAAACAGTGTGAGTATTTTTAATTAATTTCTGTTCGATGCTTATTTAGGCCTGCTGCCTATGGACGCCGTCTACTGTTGTACACCACCTAGACCTACAACCGCGAGGTGTACGGAGAGCACTAATATACCTTATCCTTTATGTCCTAATGGTCGCCATGTGTGTTGATTGCTTTGTAATAGGCTGGATTTACGGGCGATGTCATTGATCACGTCAACACAGATAAATGCTATCCTACTTAGTATTTATATCTCGCCCAGAGAGACTCCGCTAGATCTTACGTGTTAAAGATACAGATATTACTAGCAATTAAAACTAATATTTACGGATTTTCTAAGGTAATATTGGAACGTTTAAAGCAGACTACAACAAGCAAATACAACTTTCAGAAGTAATATAATTACTCATTTTTGAGTTCACTCAACACGGACGTTTATTTTAGGTGACTGTTAGCGTTTGATCTTGTTGATTATATAGGTAAAATGTCTGTTGATTGCTTTGTAATAGACTGGATTTACGGGCGATGCCACGAACCTCGATAACGTCAACGCTGATAAATGCTATCCTACATATCGTAATCGTAATCGTAATCGTAATTTAATCATAATCATAATCGTAATCGTAATCATAATCTAATCATAATCATAATCATATAACTATGAATATAGAACCATGACCATATAATCACAATAATGTACACAACCGTAATCATAATTATAACTATTATCATAACCAACCTGTTACCGTAGCCATAGAGTTAACCCTAACCATATAACCATACCTATTACGATATCCGTAACGTAGCCAACCTACTAAAATATTTATTGTGAAACTGCACATTTGGAAACAGCAACCCTGAAACAGCAAGTGCTCTATATAAACGAGTAATAGGAATAAAACATGACCCAACTCAAAAAGTCAAATAACATTCTATTACCTAAATGATAAAAGGTTGGAACAATTAAGCTAATAGTCACACGATATTAACACAGGTCATGCGATATCAATATAAATATCATTCTATGAAATGTTGTTATAATTACATTATTAAAATTAACATGATATGAATGCAGAACTACTGAGCATAACATGCCACATTACTTATAATAATATTCTAGACTAGGCATACGATATTGGTACAACCATATGATAAAAATGCTCTAAAAGCAATATCTAGAACATGACTGCCGATATTATTATTACAACATTCCATTACACATGCAGCAGAGAAATTGTGATTATATTTATAGTACGAACGCGGAAATAATTAGCACGTGATATATTACACATCTTACTACTATCTTTATTCCAAGGCAGGTGATTTCGGCCCGTCATGATGCCGTCATCAGGTATCCACGATGTGATGAATGGAATTAATAATAGTTTCATCGTGGATAATAGTAGCGTGCGTCGTCATTGGTATAGTGACATATTGTTAACGACATAAATAATATGTTTCAATAAAATATAATTTAAGTGTAATATTGGTCGCTACACTTCCCCCGCGGCCATAAGACTCCGTTCTCGTAGCAATCGCCCGCGTATTTAACTCGTTAGAACGCGCAGCATCCTAAACGTCTCTCCGTTTGCGTAACGTATCGCAGTGGCATCGCCGAGTACCTGTAGCGAACAATATAAATATACAATAGTAGAGAAAATGCGCGGAATACCCGTACAGTGCTGATAATCAGGGGCCGGCTTGCGAAATTTTTTTTCCCACGAGAGTTCCGGACCCCAGCCAATCAGCGCACTCCATTCACTCGACTACCTCGAAGCAACAATGCAAAATTTATACAACCTAACCCTAACCCTAAACCTAACCCTAACCCTAAACCTAACCCTAAACGTAACCCTAACACTAACTATAATACAACCAGGTCCGTCTTATATACGCGCCATATATTACAAAACACTATCTGTGGTGGGTCCGGAACTCTCGTGGGAAAAAAAATTTCGCGGCCGGCTTCACGAAGCGTACTTAACTTAAGTATGATTAAATCACTAATCATACTTAACTTCCCGTTATTATGATTAGTTAGTCATACTTAAAAATCTGTTTCACGAAGCGATTTAAGTACATATTTAACTAATCACATAATTAGCCGACTTCAACATGAATAGACTGGTACTCGCTCCCCTCTCGGCTAATTATGTAAATCGAGGATTATGTAATGATGGGAATCGAGTAATCGAGGTGGAAGCGAGTACCAGTCTAAAACAAATTACACTGTATTCAATATAGCGGACCAATACGCCAAAAATATCTTCAAGTTCGGTACATGAAAAGGAATTAATTTGTAACTATAATGACTGAAGTAGTACAGCAAATCTTAGATAATTTAAATTTCCTTGGGAAAAAATTGAAGTAAAATTTCCAATTGTAAAATCTGCAGCGTACTTAATATACTAGTACTACCTACTTCTAAGTTCTAGTATACTAGCAACTAATTATGATTAGTGGATTTAATCATGCTCCAGAGTAGAATTAAATATTGGGATTAATTTAATCATGATTAAAGTTAATTACGCTTCGTGAAACAGTCACTTCAATTTAATCACGATTCAATACTTAAGTACGCTTCGTGAAACCGGCCCCTGGCGTACAACAACGCCAATCGCGCTGAAATACACAATTTAATAATGTACAGTAAAAGCTATATATAATAGACATATATGAGTCTACAGACGAGATAGAAGTCCTTAACTATGCGCGCTTCACTTTCGGACTTGTAGACTAAACTCTACGGATATCATATTTATTACGACGTAGATACCATTATATAATTTTGAACAAACGCTACTATATATCGAAAAGAATGTATGACCACGGTTAACCATACATACGATTTCAACAGTTTCCATTGAAAACTCGTCATTGTCTCTACGCGTGTGCAAACGACTGCTTGAGTCTAACAATCATCAATACATCAATCAACGATGGATATAATAACATAACACGTGCAGTCTCGTAAGCTGTGAAACAAAACTGTGTCGGCAACAGTTGCGTGCTTCGTTATAGTATTTTGCGTGCATCGTTATAGTGCTTCGTTATAGTATGTTATTAGTATTAGAGACAACAACGTACTACGCACTTTTGGGCATAAAATAGGCATAATGGACAAGGATAAGGGTAAGGAAAGGGCGCGCGGGATGCTACAGCAACGAGGGCATGGCCAATACCGACGTTGTGGAGCAAATAATCTAACGTGGTTTTCACTAGCGTGTCTGACGGCAAGATTATCATATAGGTGTCTGCAACGGTTTAATAAATAATTAGCTGCTAGCCGTTTCGACAGGCTCTCGTTGCCTCTCCTAACTGCCGTCGTTTAGAAATAGCTTCCACATCGGTGCTATCCTCCATGTCACGCTTATACAGTGATAAGTAAACATAACGTTCACCTCTCTCAGTGACTCTCTAATGTACTATAAGTTTATTATATAAGTTCCGCATAATTAAATAAGTTCGGTATAAGTTCGTGTAAGTTCGGGATTCGTATAAGTTCCGCTACTGGGCGTAAACTTTCCTTTGCTCATGTCTCACTACTTACTCTCGCTTATAACTTTACGTCTAACACGTGCTATTGTTTCAATGGGTAGATCGGTCATTTTAACAGTGTACCGAAAAACGATAAGTCGTGAATAGTGACAAGTCAACACACTAGGCTAATATTCGGGATCGGTAAGATGACGGTGGTGGTGCATTGTGGTGGTGTTATAGGCAGGGAAAAAGTGCTTGAGTGTTTCGCTTATACGCTCGTATATTACGAAGACTATGGTTTGAAAGCTATCCCTAAAACTTTAATTCCGAAATATATCTGCCGACACAAGATTTGTCTCACTCACCCGTAATGCTGTAGTGCTGCTGTGTCGTTCCACTCTTGTACTCTCATCTCGCTGAGTCCAGCGGATCGCGTTGCTTGCTTGCTTGCTGACGGTTGGGCTGTTACCAAGCTTCTTCTTGAGCGTTCTCTCAGCTGGTATCTCAGCTGTTGTGATAGGTTCGTGTACGTGATCGTATTGTTCTTCGTATTCTTCTTTCTGTCGTTTCGTCATGGTCGCCAGGTCGTAGAAATAAGTGTTCTGGCTTAGAAGCCTTAGATGTAGCATCATTGTTCCTTAGGCATATCCGTACTCTTTCTATTCGTATCCACGACGTAATGAATGGACTTAATAATAGTTCCGTCGTGGACACTAGAGTGCG